TTAGAGAAGTTTCTGGATGCGCATAGGGATTTGATTCTTAGAAGGTCCCATTCATCTATTTTATCTTCTCCTGGTTGTAAATTTTTCAGAATACTGGGAAGACTCTTTATGTTGTGGATTAGGACTACTAAAGTTTTTCCAAGCTTTTCTTGAATGAAGTTTACAGTCCTTGGTTTTAGTTTAGGTGGCATTTTAAAAACCAGCAGCATTTAGCTCTGTTTCCAAGGAATCTGACTTAATAGGCTTTGACATGGAACTTTAGGTAGATTTCCTCATGTAGCTAGAGCTAAGAATGCCTGCCTTAGACAGCTGGTATTTGTGAGAGGTATGATCAGAGATATGTCTGAAAGTCAGAATTTCCTGGTACACAGTGAAACTTCCTTTGTAAAAGTAGTAATTTATAAATGGCTCCTTGGTGAGAGAAAGCAAAGTTACATAATGAAGTGGCCTGGATTGATGACTTACCCTAACTTCATACATGCTTTCTTGTGTAACCCACCTCTCAAGTGTTGGGATGTTTGAAAAGGAAATGCTGATAAAAGAGCTTGGCTGCTAACCAACAGGGCAGAGCTTTGAATTTACCAGCCACTCTGAAGGAGAAAGATGTAGCTGCCTGTTTTCATAATCTTGGCAACTCTATGGGAAAGTTCTCCTCTTTCCTGCAGAGCTGAAATTGACAGTACAGTAGTGGCGTTTTATGAGGTTTTCTTGTTTTATATTAAAGAGCTCTGGTGGCATGGCCCATAGTGAGTCGCGATGCTGACCTAAAAGTGGTACCTCTCTGGTTGTTCCCCACCTGCTAGTGGCTCTGCCGAAGGAAGGCAGTCTCCTCTTGTGCAATTTACAGCCTCTGAAAACCTCTGTTAGCTGTAGCCTCTGTTAGCTTTTAGTAGGTTGCAACACAGCTGGTACAGTAAGTGTGAAGGTTGTTTTAGTTTGGGTGTTTTTTTAAAAAAACTAACAATTAAAGGAAGAAAACCCAATTTAGCAACTTGAGACATTGTGTTATAACCTTCAGTCTAAGAAGACAGAGTACACATATATAGATATAAGAAAAAAAATCTTTTCAACATTCTACTTTAGTTTGTGTAATATAGTGACCCTTAAATATGTCCTACTGTGAATATTAGCTTGATTTACAATTTTAAAATTTAAAACCTCACACAGGTAGCTTGGATTTAGATTTAGAGATTCCTTTGAAAAGATTCTAAGGTACTGCCTATCTACCAAGCTTTTGGTTCAGAATAAAATTTTGCTTCAGGATAAAATTGTTTGGCTGAAGTAGATTCTTTTAAAGGGGGGGAGTGGAATCTTCAGAGTGTTTGTGTTAGGCTTAATAGGTGAGTTCCTGGCTAGGAAACTGTTTACCAGCCTGTAGTCTAAAGGTTTTTTTTTAAATGGTACTTAAAATAGTAGTGCCATAAGTAGGGGAGAGATCTTACTTTCAAAAACCTTTGCAGTCTAGTTTTGAAGATCATTTTCCTAAAGTAGAGCAGTAATTTATTATTTTGTTGAGTAAGTTCTTTGTTAGTTCTAAATGGAATTACTTACCCAGGACTCTTATTTCTGTCTTACTCTGTTAGGTGTAAAGATTTCTCTGTGTGTTACGGGAATCCCTATTGGATGCTGCCCTCTGATGTTTGTGGAATGAACTGCTTTTGGGAAGCTGCTTTTAGGTAGGCACTTAATATTTAAGTGGTAGATCAGCGTAGGTAAGATTAGATAGATATAAAACCTTATTTATTTTTCTGTAATTTAATATTACCATGTAAGTAAATAATTCCTTTTTATGACTTTTCAATTTTTTCCTCCCATTTTGTATTTCTATTTTTGCTATTTTTTTAGTTAATATCAAATATAAAATGCTCAAAATGTTCTCAGCTGTTATTAAAATAAGCCATTTTTTTCTAAAGGTTTTAAATCTAACTTTAGATAAAAGTAGTAAAGATGAACTTCTACTGATATATTAATAAATATATGACATTAATTTGAAACTGATCTGAAAAAATTTTGTAGGTGGTTAATTTAAATATAGCTGGGAAAAAGATGAAATTGGTTATCTGTGGAAAGATTGAATTTTGGGAAATGAGAAGATGAAAAAGTAATGTATAATCAGTTGACATGACAGTGACAGCAGATGATATGACAGGACTCTTGGGAGCGCTCATGATGCAGTGACTCCGAAAGGTCAGCCCTTTGAACCCATAGTTGCTCCAAAGGAAAATGAGGCAGCTCTTCCCTGCCCTTGAAAGTTGCCATGAGTCACAGTTGACTGGATGGCAGTGGATTTAGTTTGATATTGATCTTTTTAACTTTCCTGTCTGAATAGTGAAGGTATTGGGTTGAATGACATCTCAGGCCCCTTTTTGCTGATACATCCAGTGAAATAAACATTTTATTTATGTTAATGAGATAAGGCAGAGATGTTCTCAGGTTAGCTCTCTGAGATAATGGCAGGGGAGTGGAACAGTTGCCCAAAAATGCTCTGTCCAAGAATAAATTTTTTTAAGAGTCATCTGTTTTCACTGAGCTTATTTAAATTTTAATTCTACTTATTCAATTTGCTAGACACTCTTTAAGGAGCTTTGGTACCATATTGTAATGTGTCAGACTCATAACTAAAAGATCTGCAGTTCAAGCCTACCAGCTGCTCTGAAGGAGAAAGACAGTCTTTTCTTGTGAAGATTTGTAGCCTTAGAATTATGATGGGGCCTTGCTGTGAGTTGGAATCAAATTGACAGCAGTGGGTGAGTGGTATGTAGTAAGCACTTCTGTGGATGCTACTTGTGGACTTCTGAAATCCTCATGTTCTAAAGGGAGCTTCATATCAGTAAAACTGAAATTGCAATAGGGGATGACGCATTTTAGTTCTGGTCATGAGAGAAGCACAGAGAGTGATGTTTAAGCTGTGACTGCACAGTGAATAGTAAGTTAGGCTGAAAAACAGGAGGTGACATGTTAGAGATAGGAGGAACCTGAGTATGTGCAGAGGTACAAAAGATGACAGAAACCGGGACACAGAGTGGCAGGTGGACAGTAGGGAGGGGAACTACAGAGGGGCTTTAGACCTTGGAAAAGAGTCTAGGCTTCACCTGGCATGCATGGATTTTATGTGAGAAAGTGACATAAAATTTACATTTTAAGGCATTTGATCTTTTTTCCTTGTGGAAAATGAGTTGAGGGAGATATGGATGAGATTTGTAGCTGAAATGAAAACAGTTGAGATTTTTGCATATTTTAAGGACCATCTCATTAATTTCACATGCAGGCAAGATTCTACTGAAGATTATCCAAAAACGACTGGAACAACACATCAGCAGAGAACTGTCAGAAGTCCAGGCTGGGTTTAGAAAGGGTCGTGGTACAAGGGATATTGTAGCTAATGTTAGATGGATCTTGGCTGAAAGCAGGGAATACCAGAGGAATGTATATCTGTGTTTCATTGACTATGCAAAGGTGTTTGACTGTGTGGATCATAACAAACTGTGGCTGACTCTCAGAAGAATGGGAATCGCAGAACACTTGATTGTCCTAATGAGAAACCTATACTGGTACCAAGAGGGAGTCGTCAGAACAGAGCAAGGAAACACTGCATGGTTCAGAATTGGGAAGGGTGTGCACCAGGGATGTGTCCTGTCTCCGTACCTTTTCAACCTGTATGCTGAACAGGTTATCCGGGAGGCTGGGCTCTGTGAGGAGGAATGTGGGGTCAAGATTGGTGGAAGATCTATCAACAATCTCTGATAGGCAGATGACACAATCCTGCTTGCGGAAAGTGAGGAGGACCTGAAGCGCTTGCTGCAGAGGGTCAAGGACTGCAGCCTCCAATATGGATTGAGGCTCAGTATCAAGAAGACAAAGATTCTCACCACTGGGCTAGTTGGCAGCATCAGGATGGATGGTGAAGAGATTGAGATTGTTCACAGCTTTAGTTTGCTTGGCTCCACAGTCAAAACTCTCGGCACCAG